GGGAGCCACCTCTCCACAAAAGTCAACAGTGACACTGAAATATAACACTGCCTGAGCTCTGCGAGTGCAGCATTTTTACAAATGAAGCAGAGAGTGTTTGAGAAGTGGAACATCTGTAAGGAGACCAATATGCTTGTTTATAAAGCCATTGTCCTCCCAACTCTGCGATATGCCCATGAAATGTGTACTGTCTACAGACGTCACACGCAACTCCTGGAATGATTCCTGTACTGACTCCATTGTAGCCACCACAACATGGGAAGCCTCCTGTATTGGGGTAAAAGTGTATGGCAATGCTTTCACCCCGGTTGGGGATTGGGCCTCACCAGAAGTCACATAACGTCATGTGATGGTTGCCATGGAACTCAGTCCAGAAGACAGGGTAAAAGCATCCTAGGATGCTAAAGTTCCCCAGCTAATGAGGTTTTGAGTCAGCATTAATGAGTTTCTCTCATTGTGGAATGACCTCTTGATGTAGCCACAGGTCATATAAAAATACATCATCCTGACCTCAAAAAATTGCCTTTGACTTAAACAGGAGGTCAATATAAGCCCCTTCTTCACTGCCATATAATCCAGATTATCAAAACAGAAAATCCACATCTGCTTTGAGCTTGATTGTATGAGTCTACACTGGCATATAATCCTGTTCAAAGCAGATAATCTGGATTTTATTTGGCAGTGTAGAAGAGGTCCTATACATGAGTATATACAGTAATCCTTGCACTCCATATTAATGCAACATTGTTCTTCCCTCCCCAGTTTTTAAAGTCAAGACAGAATGAAATGTCAAAAAATACATCTTCCCTCAACCCTTTCCACAATTCAAGAAAGAAAATAACTAACAGAATTTCCTAAGACTGCAAAAGAAATTTATACTTTGAAATAAATAAGTTTCTAAAGGACAGCACTTACTTGTTATAACTACTTTATCGACTAATCTAGAACTTTATCACACAATAGATTTGTTGCATCATTGCACTGGTGCAACAAATCTATTAGGTGACTATCATTCTATCGATTTGTTGCTGCAAAATTGGCAATTGCTGAGAAGGATTTGTTGCATCACTCTTTCTTTGATCTTTCCTGATCGCACAGCATCAGAAACCTCCCTTTATTGCACTGCATTTCCATTGGATTGCCTCTTTTTAACTGACAGAACAAACTAGTCATTTTTTCCAGTGTTGATGCTGTTCAGGAATTGTTTCTGGCACAACCATTTTATTCCACTTCAATAGATAGCACTCTCATTATACACATTAAAATTTGATTTGTTTTGTGTTTTCTGTTTTACTTATTTAAACTTTGTGTTTCTACCTCAGTTTGTGTTACTCAAGACAGCTTCAAATAACACATCAGTAAAAGATGAAATAAAGTGACCACAGATATTGCAAAATAATACTAGAGAACCAGGAAAGGATCAACAGCTGAAGAAAAGGAAAGGGGACTCACATAGTAAGACAGTGGATATGATCTGATTTAGTCTAAATTTTCAAGAAGCTACCTTATGGACTCTACTTAAGTTTTGGGGAGAGGATTCAGGACCATGGATAGGTGCTTTAAAATTCAGACTGAAATCTGGAGTGGATTTACTGCCCTCTTCCCACATGGAAGCCACCAGCACCCACACCAAACGTTCTTTGACAAGAATAAACCAGGGATAGAGTATAATGTCCTTCCATATATTTTTGTAATTCCAGACTTTACTGATAACATTTTTTTCATGTCAGGAACAACTTGGGAACCTGCAAGTAGCTTCTGGTTTGAAAACATTGGCCATCTGCAAGGAAGTTGTCCAGGGGATGCTTATTAAATTGATAAACTCGGCACCACAACAGAGTGTTCTGTAGATAATGGGAGACTGGAGTTCCATTGATTGGCTTCATGAACGTCTGGAAATATGGAGGGCTTAAGACCCCGGTGGCACAGTGGGTTAAACCACTGAACTTTCTGACTGAAAGGTCACCGATTCAAATCTGGGGAGCAGGGGGCTACTGTTAGCCCCAGCTTCTGCCAATCTAGCAGTTTGAAAATATGCAAATGTGAATAGATGAATAGGTACCGCTTTAGTGGGAAGGTAATGGCACTCTATACAACCATGCTGGCCACCTGACCTTGGAGGTGTCTATGGACAACGCCGGCTCTTCAGCTTAGAAATGGAGATGAGTACCAACCCCTCGAGTCAGACATGACTGGATTTAATGTCAGGGGAAAACATTTACTTCACCTTAAGCACTTTTAGGCCCCTTTCTACAGCAGCAGCTCCCAGCTCCCAGGATGCTCCTTTTGAAATATTCTTTCCCTTTTCATTAGTTACCTAACCCTAAATAAATGTGCACCCTGGCACATTATCCTCTATTTTTACTTCTTTGTATCTCTTTTCATTGCCTGAGTCTTTTACTCCCACTTTTGTCCTCTGCAGTTGGCTGGTGGCCACCTAGGTCACATGGCCCTCACGGTGCTGATGAAAGGTCACCAAATGGTCTTGATCAGTGGCTTACTCCTCCAAAAGGATTTTATATATCAAGATACAAATTATAACATGTTAAATACACACATGAGAGTCTGTGGATACCAAAGGGGAACCCAGCTTGCAGAGGTCTGGGCATCCACGGAGCTGGGGCACATACACAAGGAGACCTGTGGATACTGAGGGGGACCCAGTGAATGGAGACTGGGGCACCCACTGGGGATTGTCACAGGGTTCATTGTGGTAAAGGTGAGGTTAATACAGGGAAAATAGGAAAGAGAGCCCCACTCAGAGGGCTGCAGAGTCTGTGAGGGCCATATGGCCACCGGGCCAGTTGCAGAGAGTGAAAGCTAGAGAAAAGGACTCAAGAAGCAGAAAGATACACAAGGAAGCAGAAATAGAGGATAACACACCAAGGTGCACACCCATTTAAGGGTTAGGTAACAATGGAACTAATAAAAAGGGAAATAATGTTTCAAAAGAAATATCCTGGGTGCTGGTAACTGCTGCCGGGCTTCTTCGTATTTCTGGACATAGGCAAAGGCAATAAATGGAACTCCAAGCTCCCCTCTACCCAAGGAACTCTCTGTTGCGGTACTGAATTCACAAATTTAATATTTTGATCGGAGATTGCTGGTTATTCAGTCTAACAACTGAAACCATTGCCTAGCATAATTATATTTGATTGTATACTACAAGAAGTGATTCTGCTCTAAAGGGTTTTTTGGCTCTTCTGTAAAAGGTTATATTCTCTTAATAGTTTTAGCCACATCATGCAAGCTTTTTAAGCTCCACTGGCTTTTTCATCAGGCAAAGATGTCAAAATCACACAGGATAAGAAAGGTGATAGTGTTAGAGTCATCAGCCTACAATGCATCTCTTCTTGGCCACATGGGGACAAGAGATAAAGGGCAACAAATAACAGCTTGCATTATGCATGTTGTGCATGCTGGTTAGCATAATAATAATTATGCTATACATTTCTTAATAGTAAAGAACTGGGTCTGATCTACTCTAACACCCATCTCTTCTAAACCTCACAACCTCTGAGGATGCTTGCCATAGATGCAGGGAAACGTCAGGAAAGAATGCTTCTAGAACATGGCCATATAGCCCAAAAAACCTACAACAACCCAACAAGTTTCAAAGAGATGGAAAAATCATCAACCACTACATCACTCTGGCACACAAGCAGAGAGAGAGATCTCTCAAAACACAACACTTACCAAGATATAAAAAGCTGAAGTAGTAGAAAAGTATCAATTGTACACAACCAATTCGAATGCAAGCAGAAACAGAGAGGAGAAAAAGACACATTCCAACTGTCCTCCAGGAGATATGGGAGAAGGGAATCCCTCAGCCGATCCTTACCTAACTAACTTATCCTCATTCAGGACTAGAGACTTGGGCAGTGTGGGGTTGAACTCCAACACCCATGACCATTCTCATCAGTGAAAATGAATGAAGAGAACAGAGTTATCATGTAACTTTGAACACACTGATTTTCTACCCTTTGTTTTTATCATGGGTGTTTGTTTGTTTTGTGTTTTTGGGGGTTTTTTTTGCAGAGAATGGAGGCATCTGTGCTGATCAAGGAACCTTTTGCCTGCTGTGAGCCATTCATTATGCCAGAATATGATTCTTCCAGTGAAAAAATTATAGTACTGTCCAGAACAACTGAATTCAAATGGCTGTTCTTTCAGAGAGAGAAAGAGAGGCTGTACACAACTCAAAGTTTTCATACAGAATTTCTTCATGCGTAGATACTAATACCTCTGGGACTTTCAGCTGTATGCTTTGCTCTTTTTAAAAAGACAGTACAACCAAATACATATGCCGTGATCAACACAGGATTTGCACGTGTTTACTCTAGCTCATCAATTTCTTTCAAGATAAGTCTTCCAAGGTCATTTAAATCTTATCTCTCAATGTGATAAATTCTCAGAATTCTAGATGTGAGAAAAGAGATTGGATAAGATCTCCGTGTCCCTGGTTTTAGTATGCACTCAAACTTATCTGTGATCTTCCCTAAGGGAACACAGCCCACATTACTCTAATACGTAGACTTAAGACTCCCAGCTTTCTTCTTAATGATGATGATGATAATCTTTATTTATATCCCATTTATAGCCCACTTTTCTCCCTCACAGGACTCAAAGTAGCTTATAACATATTAAAATCATGTAAACAACAATCTGAATAAATAGATGATAAGTATAAAACTTCTAATAAATGTTACAGCTACTGTAAGCATTACTCCTTTATTGAAGAAATCTGCTCTTTATGGGTTAAAGAATGCCAACAACAGATGCAGGAAACCTCTGACCCCTGAAGTCAGCTCCTACCTCGGCCATTTTCCCTCTGGCTCCTTACTTTCTGCAGATCTTGCCTGTTTCTCAAGAAAAAATTAAGCTTTGATCATTTGCCCATTAGAGATAAAATTCTTCGTCGATCAGACCTAACAAAAAAAATCAGAGAAAATATTCCCTACCTACAGATGTGTTGGGTTTGAAAAGCATACCAGCAAAAGTTTTGCAAGTTGCAAGAAATAGTCCCTTTATTTTGGTTAAACATACTCAAACAGCTTTCTCTAAAAAGTCTCCACATTGGATGAGAAAGGCCATAGACATAATTTTTTTACTTTGTGCCTTAAACTGCAAAAGACATTATTATTCAGTTAGAAACAAGCATCTTGTACACAAACTCAGACAGAAACAACCCTAAATCTCTAAATCCTTAAACGTTTTTGTTTTTCTTTGTATTAAATGATCATGAGATATTTGGCCTTCAGCTCTGTCAAAGGTAAGGCCATCCACAATTCAGTCCCACTGAATGCCTAACAGTTGACAGCTGACATCCCAGAGCTTCCTTGCTGTTTCATCATCACGTCCTTGAGGCCATACGTAGGCTGGCTTGCAGTCACTGTGACAGAAAGGGGAAAGTTTGCATTAGGAAATTTAGATAGCATTATTTATTTATTTATTTATTTATTTATTTATTATTCGAATTTATATGCCGCCACTCCCCTGGGGCTCGGAGCAGCTTACAAGAATGGCTAAAATCTAACACAATTTAAAACAATTTAAAAACAGCAATATCAAAAATCAAAGCATAATTAGCATAATTCAAACTAGGCTTGGCTCCCTGTGATATAGGAGAAATCTAACTTTAGCGTCACATTGATACCAAAGTGTTTATAAAATAATGGCTGTATGCTGATTAATCTTCCTGCAATTCTCTTTCAAAATGCTTAAACGGTTTTCATTGACTGCAAGAACTAACTGAAGAAGCACTTCAGTGATCATTCTTTTTCCTCTTTAAATCTGTTTCTCTCTTTGAACCCAGGGCCAGTCTTTAAACCTCAAGTTACCTGAAATATTTCCCACTCACTGACTCCAGCTCCTCTGCCACCGCACAGTAGACACTAGTCTGGGCTCCTTCCTGGGGCGTCTTCAAAAAGAAGGTCAACAGTTTCCCCAAAATAATCAATATAGTGGAGTGACGGCCCAGTTCAGAGGCAACAGGGCCTGGATGCAAAGCATTGGCTGTAACTCTGGTGCCTATGGGAAAGGAAAGATGCATGCAAACATTAAACATACTAAAAAGAAACCTCATTCTGGCAAAAGCGAAAAGGGTGCTCTTACACTCTCTCAGCAGCTTTCAATATCATACAACAACAATACATCCATACTAACAAAATTTAACAACCCAACATATACACACAAATTATGACTTAACAACTAAAATTAAATTAAAAACACAGCCTGTTATAACAGACATAAGACAAAACATACAGAAGACAAAATTACAGCAACAGGAGCCCAGGTTTGCAATCAGTCTGGCAACCTTAGCTCCAGTCAAGCTTTGCAGGTCTATTTGAAATGAGGAACAATGGAAGCTAGAAAAGAAATGTCATACTTTAAACCTCACAAATCCATTTCTCCCCAGATCCCTGTTTTCCACAATTAAGATTATGTTTTGCAAAGTAAGGCTATTGTTCTTTGAGAGACAGTGAACAAGTGACCACTGCAGGTTTCCAGCTCACCCTGCAATCGTCTGGCCAGCTCCCGGGTAAAAAGGATATTTGCCAGCTTGCTGTGGGAGTAGGCCTGGCTCCGGTTATAGCTCTTCTCGCCTTGGAGGTTCTCAAAGTCAATCCTCCCGCTGCGATGAGACCAGGAGGACACGTTGACTATTCGAGATGGTGCAGATTGCTTAAGGCACTCAATCAGTACAAAAGTTAAAAGAAAGGGCCCTACAAAGAGGGAAATGATAAGATTTTGGATACAATAAAACTGTTTAGGTCTGGAAGAAACCAGGCTTACACCCCAAATATATTTGTACATTGCACTAGTGAAAAACTGAGGATTTCTGAGAGATGTTATATGGGGTTGAAAAGCCATCTTCAGTTATAAAACAAAGGTGGGTATACGTTTCTTTTTTAATCAGACGCAATTGTCACTGTGTGTGCGAAAATGTGTGAGCCTTTTGTTCCCAACAATACTAACCTAAACTGATGTATACAATAAGGAGTAAGACACAGGAATTAAAAACCCACAATACAGTATTGGACTCATCCTACTGAGCGCTATAAATATATCAAAGCCTAATCACTGAACACAGCCATACAGCCCAGAAACTACACAACACCCCAAACCACTGAGCTTCTGGATTAGCTGGACTGGCCCATTTGAAGATGGGCTTGTGGACCAAGCACACTATCTGAAGCTATTCTTCCACGTGATTAACTCTAGGCATAATCATTTCCACAGTAACGTCTCCTTGTCTTTGTATGGTAGCAAGTGAGGAGACAAGCACCCCACATTAGAAGATGACCCCATACCCATGAGACAGGTTTTGACTACCCACATCCCACAAAATATGAAATTTTCTAGTTCTTCCAGGGCCTTCTGGCAGAAGTTATTTATTTTAATCGGGTTCACTATTTCACGGTACATTAAAGAATGTCTGCCTCACAGATTGAGGGAGATTGTTCTGTACTAATGAGGGGAATCTGTTTTGGTGAAACAACAAAGCCATTCACTCAACACATTTTTTCAGAACTTTACCAAGGTGATTGACTCCAAACTGCATTTCAAAGCCATCCACTGTCTTGGAATAGGGGCACATCATAACTCCAGCATTATTAATGAGGATGTGAAGTTCTTTCTCTTCTGCAAGAAACAACACAGGGCACATTAAAAGGGGGGAAGCCTAAAAGAAAATCTCACAACTATCTATAGCCACAGGATCTGCAGCTCTTATTTCCTCCAAAGCAGAGTTGTAGAACTGGTGACCACCCAGGTTTGATGAACTACTATTCCCATCATTCCTCACGACTGGCCAAAAGTAATGGGAATTGGGTAGTATATACCAGATCGAATTCCAAAGTGAGTTTTGGCAAAGTCCTATATTTAAATGTATCTTTCTATATTGACTACAATTGAGCTAAAAGCAGGAAGTGAAGGCCAAAAAAACTACATTGCGGAGTTTCATTATTTTTCAGGTCTATTGTTGCTAGTCTAGGCCAAAACCTCTTAAAGTATGAGTTGGGACCCAAGCCATAACTATATGCTGGGGTCAACTTCCTTCCTTTCTTATGTATCTGCGTCTCTTCTTTTCCTTCTCTCTCTTTCTCAAAAAAGGTTAAGAAGCTTTGGTTGAGACACTGCTTTCAATCTTGACACTTGCAAGATTTGAATAGTTATTTAATAGGCTTGGGTAACTACGGAAAAAATTGGTTCTAAACTCGTTTTGTTTTTAGGGGGACCTTTGCGTTTCGTTTTTTAAAGAATTCCGAAATTTTCCTTTAAAAAAGTTCAAAATATATGAAATTTCGTAAAATTACGAATCGATTCGTTAATGGCGGACGCAATTGCGCAATATGCTAAAAAACCCTCCAAACGGGACAGGGGGAACTTCTGAAGCTTCCCTCTCCCTCTGTTGTTGACTGTTGGTGTGATAATTTATTTTTTATCACTGATAAAACAAACAACAACTATAAAACTTGCACCAGACATAAGGAAATAATTATGAAACAATTACGAAACAATTACGAAACAATACGAAATAAATTGGAAAAATTGTTTCGATTTTTAATTACTCCTCACAGTAGTCCTGCATGGCTCAATATTGGATCGTAAGCTAATTTAAATACGAATTAATAACGAATTACGAAATTAACGAACGAAACCGCCCAAGCCTATTATCTAATGTTCAACCTATTCTTCACCTGCTACAAAGATTATTCCCTTTATTACATGCAAGAGGTCTGCAAATTGCAAAGGAGAGAAGATAAAATATGGAGATAAATAAAACATGTTTCACGATGTAGCAAAATTTGAAAAAGAAATCTGTTCCTGGTTTGAAAGTGTTCCTTCCTGTTAAATTGTGCAGGACTTACTTTGAAAGCAGTTATTATACTCCAGAAACTTTGTTTTGTGGCTGCCACAAACTATGCTGAATTGGTTGAGACTCTATGAGATATTCATTGAAAATCTATAGCAAAATGTGCTGTAACATGTCCCACAGAAATAAACTTTTTACAGTTTAATAAATCTTTTTTATGTTTTTATGATAAAACCAATTACAAAAAGACATTTATAACCCAGGAACAAAAATTGTGTTACATAGTGCAATGTATAATTATAGGACCACAGTCAAGACTTTTGTTGGGGGGGGGGGGGGGTTGAAAGTGAGATGTCTGATCCATGCTGACACTTTGAAATTATAATTAGCAATTTGACTAATGCACTTTCTATCAACTTAGCTTCAATCAGTTTTCACGTGAGGTATACACTGGTTACTTTGTATTGTCACTGTTACTGAGTTCATTTGAATGTGTATTTTTGAAGTCAACAATAGCAGCTCCAGAGGAAAAAAAACAAGATTGTATAAGCATTTGGTTATGAATCCTGCTATTCAAAAGAATATCACTTCTAATATTAGCCTATCCAAAAAAGGTGATTAATACTTACAACTAGTTCATAGATTGATCATAAATGCCACATCATGAAAAACAGGTTTACTGAAGACATTAAAAAGAGAAGTTTAGCAGTCCTACAAGATGTCTGTGTTCAGTTGAATAAATATAAGCCTATAATCAAATATTTTTTAAAAATAAATGCACATATACCAACACCCAGTGGATCTTTGACTGATGGTTTGATATATCCTGTGTTTTAGAAATCTTGTGGTTTAATTTTTTGCACATGCACACACCAGTACCTTTATATCAAAACTAAATCTCTCCATGGTTTAAAATACAACATAAGTTTACAAATAAGATCAATGAGAAACTGTTTATAAAAATGAGGAAAAGTTTTATTTTTGACTTATAGTGATATGAGATTTCAAAGGGCAAAAGGAAAGAGAACAGAAGTCAACAACGTTTTTCTTTTTCCCCTTTTTTTCTCTTTTTTATTCTTTTTATTAGTTTTGAACTTTAGTATATTGTATAATAGTGTATTTTGTGTTATTTTCACATAATAATTTAAAAAATTATTTTAATAAAATAAAATACAACATAAGTTCAAGCAAGAAATGGCCTCTACAATTGCTCATACCCTTCAGCTATGTCTTCAATTGATATACAGTATCAGATTGAAACAGACATACAAAGGATCAAGATAAGAGTGCATCTCTGACATACCTTCCAAGAAATTCTTAGCAAATTCTCGGATGGATTTGGTATCTGCCAAATCTAATTTCTTTGCAATAACTTGTTGGTTCCCTGTCTTGGTCCGGATTTCACTGGCTGCAGCCTCTGCTTTTACCATATCCCTGCAAGCAAGAATGACTCTAGCGCCTATAACAGGGCAACGTAGAGAAAAATTAAATGAGTATGATGGAAACAATGTAGTTCAGAGATAGATTGGTCAGTTACATATCCTTAAAAGATAGAAAAAACTTTTATAAAACATTGTGTGCTACTTTTTATGTATGAATACAAAAGTGGAAGACATGTATTGTTTAAGCAAGGTGAAAATAACCTCATCCAAGCGAGGAAGGTGATTTTTTTGTGTCAGGAGCGACTTGAGAAACTGCAAGTCGCTTCTGGTGTGAGAGAATTGGCATTACCCAAGGGACGCCCAGATGTTTGATTTTTACCATCCTTGTGAGAGGCTTATCTCATGTCCCCACATGGGGAGCTGGAGCTGGCAGAGGGAGCTCAACCTGCTCTCCCCGGATTTGAACCACCAACCTGTCAGTTAGCAATCCTGCCAGCACAAGGATTTAATTCATTGCACCACTTGGGGCTCAGGAAGCTGATGACCACATGTGCTTGCTGGGTTTGCTCCCTTGGAGCTAATTTTGACTGGCAACTTTAAGGCTTCATTTTAAAATCAGGCTTTGAATGGGAAACCCTTCAAATAAAGAGCATGTTTTACTGTCTGCTGGACGGTTCTACGTACAAACAGCCACATGGCAACCTAACTTAAAAGAGCTCATAGTACATGTATCAACTTGAAATGAAGGAGAGCGAATATATGATGATTTGCACATGATGATTTGCAGCTCTCACTATTCCTTATCTCTGGTTAAGATGATTTAAGATTGATGGAAGTTGTACTCTGACAACACTTGTAGGACCATACATTCTCCACTTTTCTTTGATACTGTAATATAATTTTATGAAATAGTGACAAGCTTGACTTGCAACACAGTGTTGCAGGATTGAGTTCTGCGGTTCAGGAGTTTGAGACAAATAACATCCCAAGTGGGTTGTTGTAGGTTTTTTCGGGCTATATGGCCATGTTATAGAGGCATTCTCTCCTGACATTTCACCTGCATCTATGGCAAGCATCCTCAGAGGTAGTGAGGTCTGTTGGAACTAGGAAAAATGGTTTATATATCTGTGGAAGGACCAGGGTGGGACAAAGGACTATTGTCTGCTGGAGCTAGGTGTAAATGTTTCAACTGACCACCTTGATTAACATTTGATGGCCTGGAAGTGCCTGGAGCAATCTTTTGTTGAGAGGTGATTAGATGTCCCTGATTGTTTTCCCTCTGCTGTTTTGCTGTTTTAATTTTAGAGTTTTTTTTAATACTGGTAGCCAGATTTTGTTCATTTTCATGGTTTCCTCCTTTCTGTTGAAATTGTCCACATGCTTGTGGATTTCAATGGCTTCTCTGTGTAGTCTGACATGGTGGTTGTTAGAGTGGTCCAGCATTTCTGTGTTTTCAAATAACATGCAGGCAAAATGTCAGGAGAGAATGCCTCTAGAACATGGCCATATAGCCCGAAAAAACCTACAACAACCCAGTGATCCCGGCCATGAAAGCCTTCGACAATACAGCATCCCAAGTTTTTGTTAGAAAAATCTGTTGTGCTCAATCTATGAGCAAATGAAGTTTTCTAAGTATCCTAGTAATCTGGTGGTACCTGATTAGAACAACAAACAAAAGCAAGGACAGAAGAGGTTTCTTTCCACAATCAGGAAGGATTTTATCTTGCAGTTTCGGCAATATACTGTATATACACAAAGCTCTGTACAAAATCCTTTCGCTTTCTTGTCCTCTCAGAAATCTTCACAGCAATTCTCTCACGTAGATCTCTCTTTTTCTTTATCCGTAATGATTACCAACAATACCATTGGAAACACTTATCCACAGTCATTGTGCTAGCTGTCCCACTTTTATCCTAGATATGACCAATCACTCATTGCATTGCACTCTAGTTTTATCATCTTCTGAAATTTGCCTTATCATTCTTACTCTGAAATTAGAACCTGGATATGTTGACATACTTTGGGTTGCTTTGAGTTTTCCGGGCTGTATGGCCATGTTCCAGAACATTCTCTCCTGACAATTTGCATCCTTGATCTATGGCATCCTTAGAGGTTGTGAGATCTGTTGGAAACGATGAAACTGGGATTTATATATCTGTGGAATGTCCAGGGTGGGAGATTCCCCCAGGCAGGAAGAAGCCAGACCTTGAAACTGCCAGGCCATTAAGCGCTAATCAAGGTGGTCAATTGAAACATTCACACCTATGTCAAACAGACAGTTCTTTCTCTTACCCTGAACATTTCACAGATATATAAACCCCATTTTCCTAGTTTCCAACAGACCTCACAACCTCTGAGGATGCCTGCCATAGATGCAGGCGAAACGTCAGGAGAGAATGCTTCTGGAGCATGGCCATACAGCTTGGAAAACTCACAACAACCCAGTGATTCTGGCCATGAAAGCCTTCAACAATACAATGACATACTTTGTTTTCATTACAAATCCTGACAGTTTTTGTCTCCTCCTTCTATCTGTTCCCATTGCATGGCTACTGAGCAGGTTCACATCCCATGTCACTGTTGGTGGAGGTATAACTTTTGGCGACATAAGGATTCACACACTAAGAATACATTTTCTATTAGTATATGAGATTCCGAATCTTTCCTTTGAAAAATGACAGCCTCAATCATGCAAACAGGCTGGGGGACGTGAAGCCAATGGTGAAGGACAGACACTTGTCTTATCTATTGAAAATGTTCCAAAAGATGCCAGTGGAAAGCAGAGCAAAACCTCTGTTTTCAAGCACAAAGAAACAGTGGGACAGAAAGAAATGCTCTGAGTGCAGACTTCTAGTGTGCCTGGTTTGAGGGAAAAGAACTTCCATTAGGAGTAGAGAAGGGAAAGAACCAGCTTTCTGTTTTGGGAAATTCCGGTGGGCTGCCTGAACCGCCATAAATATGAGAAAATATAGACGGGGCCAGAATGTCACTTCAGGGTTGTAAAATAGGGACCCATGTAAGGCCAAATGTATGGGACTCTATATTATGAGATAGTGAACTGCTCCTTGTGATGGCTTCTAAGAAAGATTCATCACCACCAGTTACAAGATACCTTTCCCCAAAATGGAGACTTGCTGTAAATTATAATGTGGACCCAAGGTAATGCTTTGTTCAACCTTGTCTTAAGTAAATATAGGATGGTGTTGGAGTTTCCAGAAAGGTATTTGATATATATATATATATATATATATATATATATATATATATATGGGGGGGCACCCCCCTACACACACACACACATATAGGGTAACATTGAAGTTTGATCATAATACGTTATTTTACTATTTAGAAATAGCAAAAACTGTTCCTTGAAAAAAAGTTAGAGCTATAATGAGGGCCACAGCTGTATTTACACTTTACACTTTTATTTTGTATTTCTTGATTAACCCTTGTTAATCTCTGAGGGGTGGGGATGAACAACTTGCCTCTTCCTGCAAGGTCTTTGGCAGTCTCCTTCCCAATGCCTGTGTTGGCGCCTGTGATCACTACAACCTTCCCGTTCAGCTTCGCTGTAGACGTACATTTGCCTCCTGCAATATACTTCCTATTAAAAAAAAGATAGAATCATAGGAGTTGAATCCAGACAAGACAAAGGTCTTCCTAGTCAGGCCAAACAGGATATAGGGCTACAGCCTGTGCTGGATGGGGTTACACTCCCCTTTAAGGCGCAGGTTTGCAGCTTGTGAGTTCTCCTGGACTCATTGCTGAGCCTCTGACCTCAGCTTGCGGTGAGGGGGGCTTTCACACAATTAAAACTTGTATGCCAGTTGTGCCCATACCTTGGCAAGTCAGACTTGGCTACAGTGGTCCACGCTCTCATAACATCCAGGATAGACTACACGGGGTTGCCTTTGAAGACTGTTCAGAAGCTTCAAATAGTCCAACAAGAGTCAGCCAGGTTAATAACTGGGGTGGCATACTGGGAGCATACAACTTCTATGTTACATCAGCTCCACTGGTTGCCAGTTTGCTACTGAGCACAATTCAAAGTGCTGGCTTTGGCCTATAAAGCCCTAAATGGCCCCAGCCCAGTTTACCTATCGAAACGTATCTCCCTCTATGAACTACCACAGAAACTAAGATCCTCCGGAGAGGCCCTGCTCTCGGTCCCACCATTGTCATATGTGCGATTGGCGAGAACGAGAGAGAGGGCCTTCTCAGTGATTGCCCCTTGGCTATGGAACTCCTGGCAGCTGCAGTTTGTTGAGACACCAGCAAGATCCCAGAGCACTGAGCCACGGCAGTGAACGTGATGTTAGACTGCATTAATTCCAAAGTGTGGATGCACCCAGCGTGTCACCCCATAAAAGTCCCGAGTGGAGGATGGAAAGAGGTCCCGACACCGACCTGAAGCGAGGCGCGGCCAGGAGCACCAGCAGCGGGAGGGCGAGCGCGAGACCCAGCGCGAGCGCGCAGCCCAGGCAGTCCTGCATCTCGGCTCCTGCCGCGCGCCTCTGGCCGGAGGATGCTTTTGGAACATGCTTTGGGGGCGGGGCCACTGGCAGGGGGCGGGGTCAGGCAAGGGAGGAAGAGCGCCACCGCACCGGATTGGCCCAGCCTCCCTCTTTGGCCCAGGACGCCAAAGAGGGAGGCTACGAGCGGACAACTCAAAATTCCGGCAAAGAGCGACCGCGGTCTTTATTCTGTCATGGGAGCAGGGAGGCGTGGCAGGGTCTCCTTGGCTATCTCTCGAAGAAGACAAGAAACACGCGGCTTTGCAACGTTTTATATATTTATTTTATACATTGACTAACAGGGTATGTCTCCGCATATTGGCTTTCATCAACGCTATTTATGGTAGGCATGCTGTTTAATACAGATATTTCATAATCTAGGTACATCATCTCTGTATGTACATGTAGTATAGATTGGGTCACGGCACAATATTGATGCATTAGAACTCATATTTCATTTGTTGAGAGCGTTGGCTGATCTGTTACAGACATTTCTATGCAATGCAGTGTTTTGTAGCACCCCAGCATTTCCAATTTCTTTCAGTTAATGAAAAGCATTTGCCTTCTTACAAAATACAGTCCAGTGCTTGTCGTTTAGGTCCCGTCTACACTGCTGTATCTACTGCACTCACTGGAAGAAACATTAACAACCTTAGATATGCAGATGATACCACTTTGATGGCGGAAAGAGAGGAGGAGCTGAGGAGCCTTCTAACCAAGGTGAAAGTAGAAAGTGCAAAAGCTGGGTTGCAGTTAAACATAAAAAAAACCCAGACTGGTTGATAACTGGCAAATAGAGGGAGAAAACGTAGAGGAAGTGACAGACTTTGTATTTCTAGGTGCAAAGATTACTGCAGACGCAAACTGCAGCCAGGAAATCAGGAGACACTTACTTCTTGGGAGGAGAGCAATGACCAATCTCAATAAAATAGTGAAGAGTAGAGACATCACGCTGGCAACGAAGATCCGCCTAGTAAAAGCAATGATATTCCCCATAGCAATCTGCGGATGTGAGAGCTGGACCATAAGGAAGGCTGAGCGAAGGAAGATAGACGTTTTTGAACTGTGGTGCTGGAGGAAAGTCCAACCAGTCCATACTTCAGGAAATAAAGCTTGACTGCTCATTGGAGGGAAGAATAGTAGAGGCAAACATGAAGTATTTTGGACACATAATGAGAAGACAGAAAAGCTTAGAGAAGACAATTATGCTGTGAAAAATGGAAGGAAAAAGGAAGAGGGGACGGCCAAGGACAAGATGGATGGACTGTATCCTTGAAGTGACTGGCTTGACCTTGAATGAGTTGGGGATGGTGACGGCCGACAGGGAGCTCTGGTGGGGGTGGGTCCATGAGATCACGAAGAGTCGGAAGTGACTGAACGAATGAACAAAACAACAACAAGCTGTGCTCACTATCCCCTCATACAGGAGAGCCTACATGCTGGCTAGATTGAATATTATGCCATCTCCGCTCCATAGAGCAGTGTTTCTCAACCTGTGGCTCCCCAGATGTTTTGGCCTACAATTCCAGAAAACGAAGTCAGTTTACCAGCTGTTAGGATTTCTGGGAGTTGAAGGCCAAAACATCTGGGGAGCCACAGGTTGAGAACCACTGCCATAGAGAAGACTCAACTGTCTACTGAGCAATAAGAAGCTTTGATAAGATTCCATCCCGCTTATTCTTCTGCACTGCCCACTTTATCAGGAACCAAGATCTAGCTTACTAACACAAATTATAGATTCTTTGAAAAACCATACTGATCCAGGGAAAGTAATTATGCTTTTAAACTGCCAAGATTTTAACCGTTGCCTTTCAGTGGTCAGATTCCTGAATGCAGTCTGTAAACTGAATGTGTAGCAAATGTGAAGTTTCCTTTTTATAAAATACTGTATTTTATACTGTCTTGCTATATATGCTAATAAAGGCCTACTGGATTGGATATCCCAGGATCTAGTCCCAGATTATCTGCTTATCCCAGATTATATGGCAGTGGAGACTCAGGACCCATTTACACTGCTGTATAAAATCCAGATTATGTGCTCAGAACACTGTCATATTCTACAGTGCCATGTAATCCACTTCAAAGCATATAATCTGGGATCAAATCCCAAGATATGAGGCAGTGTAGATCCAGCCTTAGTTCAGTATTACATAACATTTACAAATATTGCAACATAGCTATCGAACTATTGTTTCAGAGGAACAAATTCAGGGATAGCAATACAACAAAATCCCCAAACCACAAAAGATTGATACCTTTATTGGTCAACCGAAATGCACAAAATACATCATGCAAGCTTTCAAAACTTCACAGGCTTTTTCATCAGTCAAAGATGTCAAGATGTCAAAAATCATGCATAGAATCATAGAAACATAGAGTTGGAAGAGACCTCGTGGGCCATCTAGTCCAACCCCCTGCCAAGAAGCAAGACAAGAAAGGTGACAATGTTTAGAATCATAGGCCTACACTTTGTATTAGGCTGGATCTACACTACCATATAATCATATAATTATCAAAGCAGATAATCCACATTATTTGCTTTGAACTGGATTATATGTCTGTACTGCCATATAATCCAGTTCAAAGCAGATAACCTGGATGGCAGTGTAGAAGGGACCTAATATAATCCAATATAAAGGAGATAATCTGGGATCAGATCCTGAGATATAAAGTAGTGTAGATCCAGTCCTTGTATGATCTGGTTTCATTTCTGTCAAAAATAAACACCACTTTCCTCTTCTGTTTTTCTAAGGCCCCTTCTACACTGTCATAGGTAAAGGTAAAGGTTTCCCCCTGACATTAAGTACAGTTGTGTCTGACTCTGGGCGTTGGTGCTAATCTCCGATTCTAAGCTGAAGAGCCGGCATTGTCCGTAGATGTTTCCAAGGTCATGTGGCTGGCATGGCTGCATGGAGCACCGTTTTTCCTTCCCACCAGAGCGGTACCTATTGATCTACTCACATTTGCATGTTTTCCAACTGCTAGGTTGGCAGTAGCTGGGGTTAACAGCAGGAGCTCACCCCGCTCCCCAGATTCGAACCAGCAACTTTTCTGTCAGCAAGTTCAGAAGCTCAGCAGTTTAACCCACTGCACCACTAGGGGCTGCCATATAATCCAGAATATTAAGGCATATAATCCAGATTATCTGATTTGAACTGGATTATCTGAGTCTACACTGCCATATAATCCAGTTCAAAGCAGATAATCTGAATTTTATGTGTGGAAGGGGCCTAAGAGAACAGTTGCATTGTATTTGTGGCTTTGGTTTAGTTCCCTCTCTGCTCACAGATTCCATTCTCACTCTTTTAACATCCATATTTTCTCTTCACTAACATTTAACTTTTCAACCATACATTTGAACATGGAGGACTTGCCAAAAAAACCAAATCAGCCAGACAGAATTCTCTTGAAACAGGTTATTGGAATGATGCATAGTTGCCTCATCTGCTTATAAAATTCCTCCTAAAACCATGATTTCTAAAATCTTATTTGTAGAAATTATCCACTATGTGACAAATCGAGATGGCAGATTCACAAGTACATATAGGAACTGTTCAGGTAAGTAATGGTGATCTAGGAGCAAAGTATCATTCTCTTAAGACACTGAAGAGTAGAATTTAACACAATGCTGCTCATGAAACATCTAGTACACGTTAGTGGAGTATTAATACCATATATATACCATATTGATTTAACAAGAGAGATATATTTAGAACAAACAATAGGATAGGTTTCCATATATCTGTGTAGAATAGGCTAGAGTCAGGTGAATGAAAAGATAGAGTCAGTGCTTGACTGCATTATTTATTTATTTATCTTAAATAACTTTATTTATATATCGCTTTTCTCAGCCCTCAGGCGACTCAATGCATTCATATTCTGTGGGTTTTGCCCCTCCGAGATGGTATATTTCTAGACAGTGTCCACACAGATTCTCTCTGTTCAAGGCCACTGAATGCCCAACAGCTCACAGCTCACCTTCCAGAGCTTCTTTGCAGTGTCCTCATTCAAACCTTGAGAAGCAACCTGGGCAGGCTTGCAGTCACTGGGGAGAAGAAAATAGAAGTATATGAGTCCCTATATTGAAAAAAAGACAGGATAAAAATTAAGTACGTAAGTAAGTAAGTAAATAAATAAATAAATGCCATTGGACACCTAATAGTTCATCTCCTTAAACATAATATGCCGCTTTCGCAACACAAAATATTTTAGAAAGCCTTTAAAACCAAAAAGAAGACAGACTATTCAAAATAAACACTGGGGATATTTTCCAGGTCAAAATAGGTTTATGGATAATAGAATGGAAGTCAGTTCTATGTCTATTAATTTAGAAGCACACTAATACAGAACACCCAAATATGTGTGGCTTCAAACTACAGTAAAGGAGATTCCACCTGAACATGAGGAAGAACTTCCTCACTGTGAGAGCTGGGCACCACAATTCAAGGACGATATTGACAAGATGAAACGTGTTTAGAGAAGGGTGACCAAAATGGTCAAAGATTTGTTGATTCTGTGTTCCTGTAGAGGTGGTGAAAGCTGATTCCCCAAGGCGCAGGCTGCCTTCATCCAGACCGTTCCAGTCTATTGCATTACCTGTAACCTGCCCAAGGGGTGACTTGGGCAATCAGTTTTGTCCCTAATCAATCTTATCTTTGTAGAATTTGGGAGGCAAGCCTTTTCTACCAAGGTCATAAGTCTTCCCACTTAAAGATACAGGAGATACAGGAGCACCTTCATCTAACCACAGCAGTTTACCCAATCCCAAGTGGCATTTTAGGACTGTGGATTGCAGTTCTTTGGAAATATTCTTGCACTGCAAAAAATTATATTCACTTTCATTGTGCATTTCTACTTGTAGGAGGGTTGAATAAAAAGTAATGCCTCCACCTTCGTAACTCTTCAACAGATGTCAGTTCTGGTATGCGGCAGGTACTGGCTTGTTCAGTAGACTCTCCTCTACAGTTCCATTATGGCAGAAAGCCTTAGCATTGACCGGTTGTGTTGTTAAAGTGCGAAGTATGGAACCCTGCGCAGATGGTTGGTCAATGTGACTTACGCAACATGCAGTCATTGAATTCTTGACAGCAGAAGGTGTCACCCCAAAGGAGATTCATCAGAGAATGCAAGCTGTTTATGGTGATTGTGTTGATTTGAGTACTGTGCGTCGTTGGGCGAGTAAGTTTAAAGATGTTGAGGTGACACCTTCTGCTGTCAAGAATGCAAATCTCTTGGGAAGACAGGCAAAACCTCTATTTTCCTAACAGATCAGAGTTTTTGAGTTTGATGCCATCTGTATGCAGATGATGTTCAACTGTATTATGCCTTTCCATCTGCTGCTAAGGAGGCTGTTCAGATCCTGAACCGCTGCTTGATGGCTGTGACGGTCTGGATGAATGCAAACAAATTGAAATTGAATGCATACAAGGCAGAGGTACTCCTGGTCAGTCAAAAGGCTGAACAGGGTATAGGGTTACAGTCTGTGCTGGATGGGGTTACACTCCCTCTGAAGACACAGGTTCGCAGCTTGAGAGACTCACTGCTGTACCTAGAACCTCAGGTTTTGGTGGTGGCCAGGAGAGCATTTACACAATTAAAACTTGTGCACCAGCTACGCCCATACCTTGGGAAGTCAGACTTGGCCACTGTGGTCCACACTCTTGTAACATCTCGACTAGTCTCCTGCAACCCGCTCTACGTGGGGTTGCCTTTGAAGATTGTTTGGAAGCTTCAAATAGTCCAATAGGCACCAGCCAGGTTTCTAACTGGAGTGACACACAGGGAGCATACAACCCCCGCTGCTGAGATAGCTGCACTGGCCGCCGGTTTGCTACCGAGTACAATTCAAAGTGCTGGCTTTAGCCTATAAATCCCTAAATGGTTCCGGTCCAGCTTAATTATCTAACACATCTCCTGCTATGAGCCAGGTAGAGCATTAAGATTGGCTGAGGAGATCCTGTTCTCGGTCCCGCTGGCCTCCCGGATTCCACTCGTGGCATTTAGGAAACAACTTAAAATGTGGCTTTTCAAGCAAGCATTAGGAGAGTGAGAGCAAGTAGTCAAGATAACCTCAGGATTGGTGCAATGTCTCATGTTCTATGTTTTATGTTTGTCTATGTCCGATGTTTTAGGTTTTATAGTTTATTTGTTTTAATTGGTTATTTTATTTATGTGATGTATTTATATTTTGTGAGGCATTGAATTTTGCCATTTTCTTTGCTGTGAACTGCTTTGAGTCCCACCAGGCATGAGAAAAGTGATATATAAATTAAATAAATCAATAAATAACAGGTTATTCAGTCTAACAACTGAAACCATTGCCTAGCATAATTATATCTGGTTGTATGCTACAAGAGAAGATTCTGCTCTAAAGGGTTTTTGAGTTTTCTCTGAAAGGTCATTGTTTTCTTTAAATGTTAAGATCCTCGAATGGTGTTTTCTTAAAGTTTATGAATGTCCTTTTCCGAAAGGCTAGGTGTATAATCGTACATACATGAATTTCCTGTTCCTTAAGTCTTATCTCCAAAATATCTCATTATCTTTCTGTATGGAAATACAGATATTCCATTTTTTTTAAAAAAAATCCAATATGTTTCTGATTGAAAGCATTTTGGACAGAGAATACTCAATCTGCATAAGTAAATATAAACTGTAACCCTCACCCACCTGAAATACTTTCCAGTCACTGACTCCAGTTCCTCTGCCACTGCACAGTGCACAGTAGTCTGGGCTCCTTCCTCTACAGTCTTCCACATAAAGCTAAATATTGTTTGCAGAACCTTTAAGAAATAGGAATGACGCCCTAGTTCACTAAGAACTGAACCGGGATGTAAGGCATTAACAGTAACTCCAGTGCCTAGAAAAAGAGAAGAAAAAAAGCTAGTTGTGGGAAACTATGAAAACACTATTCTATATACACAAACCAAATAATTTAGCCAAATCACAATGAATTTCAAATTTTCCTAAAAAGTTCAAGAAAGAAGATACACAACATTCTTTGCACAGTACTGCATAACACAGAAAGTGGTGAAACTCTTGTCTCTTTCTGGGAGAAAGGCTAAACCTCCATCTGTCTTATGTCTGTCATTGTAAGGGATATGTATTGATTACCACTTCTGACAATAATTGCAACTGCAGCAAAGAAAGATTTAAAAATTCACAAATCCCTCACACACCTCCGTTCTGGTACTTTCATGTGACATCAAAAGGCATTTAAGAGACACAGGTAGCACTATATTTTTGGAACATTAATTTGGATGGTCGCCCATCAGGGATGCTGTAGATTTTGCTGCATTGTCAGTGATTTATCCTATAGATTGTTTCCAATATTATGATACGAAACACACTACAATAATGCTGCAGCTTCCTATGTAGAAACTGAAGCAATGTGGTGATTTTTATCCTTCTCCTCAAAGTTTATTTCTTTTACCTAGACACAAGAGGCCAGAAAGGTGGTACCATGGATCCTCGGATCAACTCAATTATTTATTTATTTATTTATTATTTATTTTGTATGCTTATATACCGCAATATCTCAGCCTACAACGGCGACTCATTGCGGTTAACAGTACTTAAAAACAACAATAATCAAACAATTTAAAAGCATAAAAAACATATACAGTACACAGTATCGGGCCACCAATACCGACCAATGCATCTCTTAGTTAAAATCATAATCCGAATTCATCGTCAATAATTACCAGTCCTTGTCATCAACTTCATCGCACCGGATTACCCGAATGCTTGTTCAAACATCCATGTCTTAAGTTTTTTTCGAAATACCAACAGCGAGGGAGCTGATCTTATCTCTATAGGGAGGGCATTCCAAAGCCGAGGGGCCACCACAGAGAAGGCCCTGTCTCTCGTTCCCGCCAGCCGCACTTCTGAAGCCGGAGGGACAGAGAGCAGGGACTCTCCAGAAGATCTTAGGGTCCTGGTGGGCTGATAGGCTGAGATACGTTCGGATAGATATGTTGGGCCAGAACCGTTTAGGGCTTTAAAGGCCAATGCCAGCACTTTGAATTGGGTCCGGTAGCTAATCGGCAGCCAGTGGAGCTGGTACAGCAGAGGAGTTGTATGCTCCCTGCGCCCTGCTCCTGTTAGTACCATGGCTGCCGCCCGTTGGACTAGTTGGAGCTTCCGAGCCGTCTTCAAAGGCAACCCCACGTAGAGAGCGTTGCAGTAGTCAAGGCGGGATGTAACCAGAGCGTGGACTACCGTGGCCAAGTCAGACTTCCCAAGGTACGGTCGCAGTTGGCGCACGAGTCTTAACTGTGCGAATGCTCCCCTGGTCACCGCCGAAACCTGGGGGTCCAGGCTCAGCGCTGAATCCAGGATCACACCCAAACTGCGAACCTGTGTCTTCAGGGGGAGTGCGACCCCGTCTAACACAGGCTGTAACCCTGTACCCTGTTCGGCCCTACGACTGACCAGGAGTACCTCTGTCTTGTCTGGATTCAATTTCAATTTGTTCGCCCCCATCCAGACCGTCACAGCGGCCAAGCACCGGTTCAGGACCTGGACAGCCTCCTTAGTAGCAGGTGGGAAGGAGTGACAGAGTTGGACATCATCTGCGTACAGATGACATCGCACCCCGAAACTCCGGATGATCTCCCCCAGCGGCTTCATGTATATGTTAAACAACATGGGGGACAGTATTGAACCCTGAGGAACCCCACAATACAAAGGTTGTGGGGTAGAACAGGAGTCCCCCAGTAACACCTTCTGAGACCGACCCTCGAGGAATGACCGGAGCCACTGCAAAGCAGTACCTCCGAGACCCATTCCCGTGAGGCGTCCCAGAAGGATACCGTGGTCGACGGTATCGAAGGCCGCTGAGAGGTCGAGTAGCACCAACAGGGACACACTCCCCCTGTCGAGCTCCCGACGCAGATCATCCACTAAGGCGACCAAGGCTGTCTCGGTACCATGTCCCGGCCTAAAGCCAGACTGTGCCGGATCAAGATAATCCGTGTCTACCAAGAATACCTGGAGTTGTGAGGCCACCACACGTTCCAAGACTTTGCCCAAGAAGGGGAGATTGGAAACTGGCCGATAGTTGACGAATTGAGTGGGGTCCAGTGATGGTTTTTTCAACAGCGGTTTTATCACAGCTTGCTTTAAGCTGGCTGGAAATATGCCTTCCCGAAGGGAGGCATTAACCACCACCTTAACCCACTCGGCCAATCCCCCTCTGGCCTCCTTTAGAAGCCAGGATGGGCAGGGGTCTAGGATGCATGTGGTAGCTCTCATTCCTCCAAGCACCTTGTCCACATCCTCGGTTTGAACCAATTGAAATGAATCCATCAAAATTGGACAAGCAGATGCTCGTGTTACATCCTCAGAGACTGCCGTTAATATGGTGTCCAGTCCAGAGCGGATCAAAGCGACTTTGTCTGCAAAGAACTGAGCAAAGGCTTCACAGCGAGCTGCCGAGTCATCAGGGCTCCCATCCTGAATGGTGGGTTTTAACAGGCCTCTGACAACTCGAAACAGTTCGGCCGGACGGTTCTTTGCAGACGCAATAGTGGCCGTAAAGAAAGTTTTCTTTGCGGCTTTTATTGCCGCGGCGTATGACCTTAAAAAGGACACAAACCGTGTTCGGTTTGGCTCGCTCGGATCCGAACGCCACACGCCCTCTAGTTCCCTCTTCTTTCGCTTCAACGCTGCCAGCTCCTCAGTAAACCAAGGGGCTGGTTTTGTTCGGCTACTTGAGAGGGGACGTTCTGGAGCGATCGTGTCTATTGCCCTAGTCATCTCCCCATTCCAGAGAGCAACCAGGGCATCAACAGGATCACCAACCGAGGTGGCGGGAAATTCCCCAAGAGCCATCAGGAATCCCTCCGGATCCATAAGCCTCCTGGGGCGGACCAATTTAATAGGTCCTCCACCTCTGCGGAGGTTAGGGGGTGCAGTAAGTCTAAAGCTGACCAGGTGGTGGTCGGTCCATGGCAACGGAGAGATGGATAACTCCTCAACACTGCCACCTTCCTCCCATCCCTGACAGAAAACCAAGTCCAATGTATGTCCAGCACTGTGGGTGGGGCCAGATACTTGTTGGGACAGCCCCATGGTCGCCATGGTAGACATGAAGTCCTGAGCCGCTCCCGTTAGGGCAGCCTCGGCATGGACATTGAAGTCCCCCAGCACAAGCAGCCGTTGGGACTCCAATGCCAGGTCCGAGACCACCCCCGCTAGCTCAGGTAGGGAGACTGTAGTGCAGCGAGGTGGGCGGTACACTAACAGAATCCCTAATCTGTCCCGGTCACCCACCCTCAGGTGGACGCATTCAAAATGTGTTGACTGCGGGATGGGGGCCCTGGTCAGAAGAATGGAATCTCTATAGACCACTGCAACTCCGCCTCCCCGCCCTCCGGATCTCGGTTGGTGCTGCACAGAGAAACCCGGTGGACAAAGCTGGGTCAAATTTACACCTCCCGCTTCGTCCAGCCAGGTCTCTGTGATGCACGCCAGATCTGCCCGTTCATCCAGGATTAAATCTTGGATGAAAGTTGTTTTACCATTGACAGATCTGGCGTTCAACAGCACCACCTTCAACCCAGAGGGACCGCCATCCTGGTTACACCAACTTACCGTATCAGGAGACCGCTTTGGGATTACTAATGTTGTTCCACGTTCCCTAGGCCGAATTAAAGGTCTCCCTTTCCCGTATCTCCCCCTCCCCACCACGACTTCTATGGGGGCTCCCCGGTTAATGGAAGCCTCTCCCTCCTCCATGACGCCTTTAACAGTCGTGATAACAACCCATAATTCATTATTGACTGTTTGATATACTACAGCTTCAGATTGCCATGGCTTCGTCTTCCAGTTGTTTCTTGTTCCTATTATGTTATACTCATGTCCTTCTGGGCTGCTCCTTTCTCTTTCTCCACCAAAAACAATTAGCAGCCCAATTAGCACTTGCCAAGGAATAAATAGTAACATGGATAATAGCTGTAACCACAGTCGAGAGTTCGTTGGAGCTCTTAAAGTGCAAAAACAATTATCTCAACATACGCATACACAACAACACGATGGTATGAACAATTAAATAAGCGGCTAGTTAGTTAGCTCTAAAGTGCTAAATGAAGTGCGTCATGGAGGGTTGGATCAACGCTACTAGGATTAAGTCGATTAAAGTGCTAAGGATAGTTAAAGTGCCCCAAAGGTAATAATTAAAGTGCTAATAGAATAAAGTGCTAAAATCACACCAACGATGAGGTACCCCGCCTCACCACCCTAAGGTTGATAAGCACATTTGAAAAAGATGGTTACACAATCAAGATGGTCAACACAATCACAAAAAATCAGCACAATCGCAAAAGGTCAGCACAGATAGAAAATCGACACAATTAAAGACAATGGTATAGTCGGAGATGATCCACATAAATGAAAGGACTGCAAAGTCAAGGTCAACACGTAAAATTGACGACGTTCATCACAGTATATCTAAAAAATTAGAACAGCGAGATGCCCAAAGATGACGATAGTTGGGTCGTAAGGTGACGATAATTGGGACATAAGGTGGTCATAAGATGGTCCGCCCAATCAGGTCTCGAGGTGGTCAGCGCAATCTTCCGGGAGGTGGATTACAGTAGATGATTAACTGGTCAACACACGTCAGGCAGCCTGAGTTGGACAACACAGCATTCTCCACAACAAATTGAACAACACAAACAGTCGGCACAGAAGATGGTTAATTGGTTAATTGGTCAACACACAATTAGGCAGTCTGTGGAGGCCTCCTTGCAGATTGCTGAGTCACACCCCACTGGAGGAGGCCTGGGCTGCTGGCTACTCGCAAGGAGTCCTGGGAGCAAGCTGGAGATCTTTATTGCCCCTTCACAGCAAGCACAGCAGACTCAGTCCCTGGCAGGCCTGTGGGCTCAGCTTTATAGATGTAGAGGCCTCCTTGCAGATTGCTGAGTCACACCCCACTGGAGGAGGCCTGGGCTGCTGGCTACTCACAAGGAGTCCTGGGAGCAGGCTGGAGATCTTTATTGCCCCTTCACAGCAAGCACAGCAGACTCAGTCCCTGGCAGGCCTGTGGGCTCAGCTTTATAGATGTAGAGGCCTCCTTGCAGATTGCTGAGTCACACCCCACTGGGGGAGGCCTGGGCTGCTGGCTACTCACAAGGAGTCCTGGGAGCAGGCTGGAGATCTTTATTGCCCCTTCACAGCAAGCACAGCAGACTCAGTCCTCAATGCCTCATGTTGCTTTTAATGACCATGTTACAGTGCATTGTAGAAAGTAACACACAGCCTGACAGGAATATTGATGGAAGATATATATATAAACACTGGGCATCCCTGAAGTGCAATGGCACTGTTGAGCAGACCATAATTGACATATTGTATGTCGTGGAAATGGTTATAAATTCTTATGATGAAAAAAGTACTTTCTAATTGCTATTGATCTCTTTAGGTGTAGTTTAGAGCATAAAGCATGCAATTAACCTGCTTGTAGCAACACAGACCCTTTTCGCACAGCTGTTTAAAATCCACATTGAACTGGATTATATGGCAGTGTGGACTCAGATAATCCAGTTCAATACAGATATTGCGGCTTATCTGGCTTGATATTCTGGGATATATGGCTGTGTGGAAGAGCCCACAGTCAAATCCAAAGCTAGTGAAATAGATTGTCTCAGGATGGTGGGGGTTGGTCCTCCATATGTGCTCATCCAAACTCAGGCAGAGTTTGGATGAGCATCTTTCAGAGGTGCTTTGAGTTGTGCATTCATACATAGCAGGGGATTAGACTACATGGCCATTGTAGTTCCTTCCACCTCTGTGACTCTAAAGATTTGTTCATCAGGAGGTTTGTCTTTGTCCTCCTCTAAGACTGAGAGAATGTGACTTTCCCCAGGACACCTGGGGAGCAGGGTGAGCTCCCGTCTGTCAGCTCCAACTTCTCATGCTGGGCCACGAGAGAAGCCTCCCACAGGTTGGTAAAACATCCAGGCATCCCCTGGGCAACATCCTTGCAGACAGCCAATTCTCTCACACCAGAAGCGATTCACAGTTTCTCAAGAAGCTCCTGACTGAACAGGCATTACATCCTGTTCTCCAGAATCATAATCCAACAGTCGAATTACAATCCATGCCAGCTCTCAAAAGGTTAGTATGCCTTTTTAAAATTGTCTGTCTTTTTCTCATCAATTGGCTTTAATAACCTTGTTTCTTGTAAAAACCCATATTGCCAAATACATGAAAACCTATTCCCCAGTGTACATTTTATCTTCCCACTGAATAAAATATCTCCAGATGCACATTAGAATAATGTCTGATTTTCCTATCAATGTTTCCCTGCCTCAAATATTGACTTCAGTAATTTCCTCACAGTGTACTTTGAAAGACAGAAACATTTTAATCTTAATGTTTTCAACCAAACTCGTATTGGTTTCATTGTTTCTATCACTACCAAACCTCTGGGATTATTTCCTTTTCATCCATTCTGACTTTGAATAGACTCAGATTATTAGCTATATTTAAGCACTCCGGTATCATATTGTCTCTGAAACTCACCTTGCAACCGACCAGCCAACTCTCTGGTAAACAATATATTTGCCAATTTGCTCTGATAATATGCAAAGTATGCGTTATAGCCCTTCTCTCCCTGTAAGTCCTGGAAATATATTTTTCCAAAAATGTGGACCATTGAGGACACATTCACTATTCGAGCAGGAGCTGACTCTTTCAAACGGCCCAGCAGCAGGAATGTTAGGAGAAAATGCCCTAGAAATAGAGGAAACCTTTTATTCATTGCTTATGTTACTTTAACAAATGCGTTAGTAACCTAAAATGCAGCCTAAATGACATAAAAGTGCTATTCAAATATATTAAATACAATGTCAAAATAACAGAAGATTTATTTTGCTGTAGATCTACTAAAACACACACACACACACACATATATATAACTAGCCGTCCCCTGCCCCACGTTGCTGTAGCCCAGTCTGTGTATATGTGTTTTGTGTGTATATATATATGCGTATATGTGTGTATATATATTTGTGTATATGTATATATGTGTGTGTTTGTGTATATATGTGGCTTTGCACATTTTTTTGGCTTTTTAAGTCTCTTCTGCTGTGTTTTTCAGTGTTTTTATGAATGACGGTTACTTGTTGGTATGTTAGAGGTATAGTGTCCAAATTTGGTGTCAATTTGTCCAATGGTTTTTGAGTTATGTTAATCCCACAAACGAACATTACATTTTTATTTATATAGATGTTATCTGATTAATTCAAATCAACCTGGGAGGCTCAACCTCTCCTTGCCAATTGATTGTCTCTCAGATTCTTGTTTTCCTTATCATGGTTGTCAGAATGTACTGCTGAAGTGACCATAAAACCAGTGATGTCACTTGGGTTGGTGTCACCCTCATGGACCTCCTCTCATATCACTCCGCACCACAATATTGTAGGTAAAATACCAGAAAATGTGACTATAAAAAGTAGCAAGAAAGACAATGGTGCATAGAGAGTGCAGACAAAACCACGTAATTCAAACAATAATTATAACTGGGTAATAATGACATTTCTGGCTATAGCATATGCATATAAAAAGATTCAAAAAAACAAATCAGCATAAAGTTTTAGCCTTGCAGATGTTGTACTTGTAAAAGGGGCTTATGAAAAATATTTTTATGGCTATAACTGGTTGTACACCAGAGCAGGAACCCCACTCTGACCTTAAACATTACACCAGCTTGGTAAAATCAGCAAGCAGTTTATTGAATAATATATATAGACAAAGCAGTAAAATTAGAAAAATGCCAAAGTTCCAAAGAGAATAATCCATGAACCTCAAGGCAAAACAAGATACAAAATCCATGAAATAAGTTACAAGAATCCTTGAATCAAGGCAGCATGAAAACATTTGATACACAAAACAGGAGCTTGGCAAAAACTTGGTACATGAAACTAAAAACACTTGAAAGCAAGACCGTCATGAAATTCCAATGTTGATCCAACTGAGGCAACTCTCTCTCATGAATCAATATAAAGCTTTTCCAGATCCCAAAATCAAAAAGGAAAGCATTTCTCTTGATCTTAGACCCAGATAAGGGTCTTTTCTTGTAAACGAATTGATCTTCTTTGTACTGGAACACTCTGTCTCTGTTTACAGAAGCCTCGCTTTTTATCTAAATTCTCATTAACTTCTGCACCTGACAAATCCTCCTCAGACAGTTCCTCTGGGAGAGACTGTGAAAAGCCTTTCTCAGGAATGTGAATCTTCATGAGACAGCTTGGGCCTTTCATCTGAGCTTAACTGAGGCCCAGACAAACTCTTATCCCCATTGCTAACAGACCCAGGCCCACCATCAGGAACACCATCCCCATTTCCATCATGAACATAAGACACAATCACAGGCTGAACAGGCTCACATACGACACTGGTGGTTTTGATTTGTAATCAAAAAGTATTACATTTCTGTTGAACAAAATAATTTATAGACAGTCATTTTGATGTCACCCTTCTGATGGTGTCATGTGGTGCAGTTCACACCCCCTGTGTCTCCCTAGTGATGCCATTGCATAAAAGCCCCAGCTAAAGATCACCGTTCTACATTGTACAATTATTTAAGGACTCATCAGATTGACTTTTGATTTTGTTTCCATGCACTGAGGAAATGGAACTCCACAAGAGTCCCACGGAGGCCATCACATGACATAAAGGCATTTCTGGTGGGACTCTGTGGGACTCCATTTCCACAGTGCATGGAAACGTAGCCAAAAGTCTATCTTCAGGAGTTGATAACAGCTTAAAACTGAGAAAGACAGGGAAAAGACATGGGAAGGCTGGGGAAGACAGTAGGGAACAAAATAAGATGCCACCCCCCCCCCTCCCGATTTCCCCCTGCTTGTGAGATGAAGTCCTAAGGCAAAGCTTCTTTGTCAAGATTAAGAGTCCTAGCATCTTGACCACAGTTAGAAAAACTTCTTCCTATTGGCTTCTTTCCTATGCCTGGCCACTTTCTTCCTTGCCTTAAGTCCTATTTGGAAATTTTGTCTGAGTTGTTTTGTCATTAGTTGCACCATTTATTCAAAGTTCTCACAGCATGCCCTTCTCTAAACTCTGTAAATTTAATTTCATCAACTTTAGGTTCACGTGATTCATTCAGTTATAAGGATGGTTGCATTCTTCTGCCCCTAGGAAGTGGTTGCAAATGGAAGAAGGGATAATCAAAGGTTAAGGTAGGTGAACAAAAGGACGGAGCAGGCAACCAACAGAGGTAGAGAGGGGACCAAATGGGAAAACTTGTAAAGTGTAGTTATCTATGCTACCTGTGATTTCACAGTCTTACCAAGATGATTGACTCCAAACTGCATTTCAAAACCATCGGCTGTCTTAGAGTAAGGGCAAAACATCACACCTGCATTGTTGATGAGGATATGGAGCTTGTCTTCCTCTACAAAAAAACAAACACACAAAACCAAGTTTTGAACACAAAAGCCCCCCAAAGAAACCCACAAAGAAACAAACCTGACAAGGGTAGTTTCAGGCCCTATCTACACTGCCCTATTAGGCAGTTTCATATTGTAGTGTAACTAACTGCATTGAATTGCATTATATGGCAGTATAGATTCAGTACATGGTGCCAATAAGGCCTGTTGCACTACAACTCTCATCATCCTTCACCAATAGGCATGCAGTAAATTCTCAGCTCAACTGAGGTTCAGCATCTAGAGGTCCATGTGTTCACTTGCCCAGCTGAACTCAGGCTGGATCTACACTGCCCTATTTCCCAGCATCTGATCCCAGATTATCTGCTTTGAACTGGATAATATGAATCTACACTGCCAGATAATCTGGGATAAACAGATAATCTGTGATAAGATCCTGGGATATGGGGGCAGGGAAGATGCAGCCGGAGTCTACACTGCCAGATAATCTGGGATAAAATGATAATCTGGGACAAGCAGATAATCTGGGACCGGATTCTGGGATATAGAATCTGAAAAAAGAGTAGCTTTCAGGAGCAAAGCTGTGGTACCGTGATTGATTTATAGTACCCACATTATTGTGAAACTTAGGGCCCTTCCACACTGCCCCTATATCCAAGGATCTGATCCCAGATTATCCCAGAATATCTGGCGGTGGAGACTCATACGTTCCTGTTTAAAGCAGATAATCCGGGATCAGCTCCTGGGATATAGAGCAGTGTGGAAGGACCCTGAGGCCCCTTCTACGCTGCCATATAAAATCCAGATGGTTTATTTTGCCATATAAAATCCAGATGGTATACAGCAGTGTAGACTCATATAATCCACTTCTCCATGCTGGAAACCAGGAGTAGAGAACGTGTTCGGTTAGGAAAGATTTTTATAAAGGCTTTGATTTGATCTTCTGATATGAAAGTAGTTGCTGCTAGAACCCGGCCATACAGCCCGGAAACCACACAACACCCCAGGGATTCTGGCTGTGAAAGCCTTCAACAATACAATGAGAATCATTGTTAGACATACAAAGCATCTTGAAAGATTGAGGACTATGTATATGATATTATCTACACAGAAAAATGTTGCAAATGTGACCTATGACAATTGTCAAGTATGGAAAACAAATGGCTGATGATTCCTGTTAGTAAATGCAAGCACATGCCATGTAGCATTCAATAACTATGGAAACATTTGATCCTCTGCAGAAGATTGTGTGGCAAGATAAAAACCTGAAATAACTAGGTGGAGTGATACATTGCCTAAATTGCATAAACTTATAATTAGGGATGTGCAAATCCTTCAGTATCAAGTTTGTTTAGTTTCTTTACACTTGCATTTTCATCCCAGCCCATTTTTTGTAATCAAGTTACAAAAAAAATTCAAAATAATAAATAAAGTTATATAATTAAACAAATTGTTGCAGTTCAACAAATCAATCCATTTCAGTTGTTCATGAAACACTGAACAACTCCACATGTCTAACAACCAATATTAAGAAATTCATTTTCAAATGTGGCATTCTGAGCCCCGAATTTGTCTTATTTTTACACAATTTTCCCCATTTAAGACAGGTTTCAGCATATTTCCCTCCAATTTCACACTTTCTAGCTGTTTGTATTTAAAAACATTGTTTTGTGTGCTCTTTCTCAAAAATGCCAGGCAATTATTGCAAATGTGAAAAAGCTCAAGAGAAGGTCCACAGAATAGCAATACATTCTGGAGCATTGAAAGCACTGCGCTTATGTCCAATAAATTTATTTCCAACTTTATTTCAAATAAATAATGCCTCAAATGTATATTGTTTACAGTTATTATTGTATGTTTTCAGGGCCACTTTTAAATCTGCGAGTGAAGTGTTTGTAATAGTACGATTATTACATGCCAGTTTCTAGGCTGGATATAAAATACAGCTTATATGTTTACTGTTTGAGTATGCCAACGCAATATCTGTTCAGAGTATTATTATAACGACCAGATTTGTGTAATATTATTATGTTTATTATATATAAACATATAATTTACTGATAAATCAAATTGTGTTGCAGTTAGATAGATTCTGAGACCCCCTTTTAGACAGCTGTATAAAATTCACATTGACCTGGATTATATGGCAGTGTAGATTCAGATAACCCAGTTCAAAGCAGATATTGTGGATGATCTGCCTTGATATTCTGGGTTATATGGCTGTGTGGAAGGGCCAAGAGCAATTCTAAGATGCATTAATGGTTAATTTACCAAATTATTTGATACTCATCATTATTGAATATTTTATACAATCAGGTGAATAATAATAATAATAATAATAATAATTATTATTATTATTATTATTATTATTATTATTATTATTTCTACAACATGCCATTACTCTAAGGGCCCTTCTATACAGCAATATAACCTAGGGCCCTTCCACACAGCCATATAACCCAGAATATCAGGTCAGATAATCCACAATATCTGCTTTGAACTGAGTTATCTGAGTCCACACTACTATGGAATCCAGTTCAAAGCAGATAATGTGAGATTTTATACAGCTGTGTGGAAGGGGCCCAAATGCCAGAAGGTCAAGAGAAGCATTTGAGTATGAAGTTACAACATTCTTCATTGTATAGGTGTTTATTTTTTCCTACTATACCTTTAAGGAAATTTTCAGCAAATGTCCGTATAGATTTGGTATCGCTCAGGTCCAGTTTTTTCACAATGACTTGCCGATTCCCTGTTTCTGTTTGGATTTCTTGAGCAGCTGTTTCTCCTTTTTCTGTATTTCTGCAGGCAATTATGACACGGGCACCTTCAATAAGAAGCAACAGAAAAAGGTGACAGGGTTGTCAGACGATGCTAATAGGTCTAAATCCTACATTTCCAAATCAATTTATGTTACTGGAACTAGTGTATATAAACCCACTTGCCATCAGATGTTACAGACAGCAATAATATTTCTTTATATGGATTTTGGGATGAGAAGATTATTGCTCAGTTCTATTTAATTCAGTTCAGGGCCAGAAACTAATTGCTAATTCATTGTCTAATTGTAAATTATCAAACTGGAAGAGACCACAAAGGTCATCTAGTCCAATCCCAAACCATGTAGGAATGCACATTGAAAGTTCTCCAGACAGACTCTTTTTGATCCAAGGCAGCATATTCCATGGTCCAGCAAAACTTACTGTCAGGAAGTTCTTCCAAATAGTTTGGTGAAATCTCTTTTTCTTTTGGATCCCTCTGTGGCCCCTTCTACACAGCCATATAATCCAGATTTTCAATCAGATAATCCAGATTATCTGATTTGAACTAGATTATCTTAGTTCTACACTGCCATATAATCCAGTTCAAAGCAAATAATCTAGATTTTATTTGGGAGTGTAGAAGGGGCTTCGGACACTTGCCTTCCAGACATTTTATCATTCTGATCACTTTCCTCTGGATATGGCGCCAAGGAGGCCTGTGAAATTTGCTCTCCAGATGTTGCACTACAACTCTCATCATCCTTCACCAATAAGCATGTAGGGTTCTCAGAGGAACTGAGGACCCTTCTACACTGCTATATAAAATCCAGGTTATCTGTTTGAACTGGATTATATGGCAGTGTAGACTTATATTATCCAAATCAGAAAGTGTGGATTATCTGCTTTGATAATCTGTATTATATGGCAGTGTAGATGGGACCTGAGGATCAACATCCAATGGCCTATATGTTCACTAGCCTGTTCCTTAGTAGTAAACTATGGTTTAGGTCACCGTCCTATCCCTGCATATCTGCCCAGCTGAACTCAGGCTGATCAGCACTGTCCTATGTCCCAGGATCTGATCCCAGAGTATCTTCTCTGAAGTTAATTATATGAATCTACACTGCCAGATAATCTGGGATAAGCAGATAATATGGGATCCAATGCTGGGATATAAGCAGTGCAGATCCAGCCTCAGTGGGACTAAGGCCCCTTCTACACATCCAGATAATCCAGGTTATCAAAGCAGATAATACACATTATCGGATTTGAACTGGATTGTCTTAGTCTACAGTGCCATATAATCCAGTTCAAAGTAGATAATGTGGATTTTATACAGCTGTGTAGAAGGGAGCTAGCTTAGTTCTGATTAAACATAACTCTTCGCAGATAGAGGGTGACAGGAAAACATCCTAATATTTAACATATAAAAACAACTACAGTGAGAGAAATTAAAGAGACTAAAATAACTGAGGTTTCTGAGGAGAATGTGAATAGAGTGACATGGGATAACAGCAATGGACTGCTACAGTATATTACAGAAACCCGGAACCAATTTGCAATTTGACAGGCAATTTTCCACAGCATAAGCCATTGTCCAAATCAGGCTTCCCAATTGCTGGATCTCCAATAACCATCATGATAATTTACTATTGCACAAGTATATTACTTTCATAAGAATTTAGCTAGAAGGAACACGAGACAACTATGATGTTGCCCCATGTAATATGTTGCATTGTATTACTTTGAAAAACAGGTTCAAGAAATATCGCATTTATTAGAAAGAGAGACAGAAAAGCCAAAACACTTATGAATTTACAAGTGCACCAAAAGGTATAGAAATCAAGTATACTTTATTCATTTGTAAATCTGACTACACCACTGGCAACTTGCCTCTTCGTGCGAGTTCTCTAGCAGTCTCCTTCCCTATGCCAGTGTTGGCTCCTGTGATCACTGCCACCTTTCCATGCAACATAGCTGTTGATGTGCACACGCCGCCTGCAAACCATTTTCTGAAAGAGAGTACAACAGCACTATGTTTTACTAGATATACAGTGATACCTTGAGTTTAGAGTAGAATTTGTTCAATAGCCAAGCTCCTAACTCAAATTGCTCTTATCTCAAAGTGAATTTCCCCATTGAAATACATTGAAATGCTATTAATCCCTTCCGGTCCTGCAAAAACTTCGCCAATATTTTTGTTACATGTTTTTAAATAAGAAATCATACTTTATAAATAATAAATAATGTAAAAATGCACATTCTCATGGAACAATAGAAAAAGAAAGATTAACTTCTTTTTTTCAAAGGCTAAAACCTTTTTATTCAGATAGGCTTTTAAAGATGAAGGTGTTGAAGATCTAGTGAGGGGTGCTGTGGTTTTTAACTGTTTTGATGGATTTTAACTGTGAATCTTTTAGTGCTACTTGTGTTTAATTCTATTTTAATGTTTGCATTTTTGTATATTTTAAATTGTATATTAATGTTTTTTTTATGTCAAACTGCTTTGAGGAGATAAGGCAGGTATAAATAAATATAGTAATTATTGATGTCGCCATACCAGGTGACGGTCGAATTGATGAAAAACAATAGGAAAAACTCACCCATTATCAGGACCTCAAAATCGAACTGCAAAGGCTCTGGCATAAACCAGTACAGGTGGTCCCAGTGGTCATTGGTGCACTGGGAGCCGTGCCAAAAGATCTCAGCCAGCATTTGGAAACAATAAACATTGACAAAATCATGATCTGTCAACTGCAAAAGGCCACCTTACTTGGATCTGTGCGCATCATTCGAAAATACATCACACAGTCCTAAACGCTTGGGAAGTGTTCGACTTGTGATTTTGTGATACGAAATCCAGGATATGTATCTCATTTGCTGTGTCATACTGTGTCTTTGTGTCAGACTAACTCAAAGTTCCTCGACGTGGACAAGAGCCAAACAAACAGAAATCTCCCAAAGCAGACGAGCACAAGGCCCAGAGGCTGCGCCCTTGAAGTCCTGAAGCCCTGTACTTTTGCGCTAGCTCTTCCTCTAGCACTAGCTCTTGACTCAAAATGCTGCTCATACATCAAAGCAAAACCAGGACCAAGCAACTACACATAACTCAAAACACTCTTAAGTTGGGATGCTCTTAAGTCTAGATTCCACTGTACATAAAACTTGTAAAGATCTAATGTCTCCTTTATACTGATGTGTAAGTCCAGAAAGTTTAGTTTTAAAAAATCAGTACAAAAAACTTGGGTCAAGTTATTCACAAGTCAATGTGAGTTCTGTAATCTAACTATTATTTAAAAAGGAACCAGCCTATTCCATTCTTGAGAACCTAAAAGAAGCACTGACCCTATTCTACTCTCTTTGCCATGGGCCATTTTGAATGTCATTTTAATACCTGTCTTGGGACATGCTGGTTGAGTCAGCATTGATGAGTTCCTCTCTTTGTGGAATGACCCCTTGATTGGGCTCAATTAAAGGTGCAGGATATTACATACAAAGCCCTATACGCTTCGGGTCAAACTTATCTTCGAGACTACATCTCTTTCTATGAACCGGTGCAGGCTTTGAGATCAGAAGGTGTGGTCCTTCTCTCGGTTCCATTACTGTCTCAAGCTGGTGGTTGGTTGAGACAAGAGAGAGGGCCTTCTATGTAGTTGCTCCCTGTCTCTGGAATACTCTCCCAAAAGAGATTGGGCTAGTCCCCACCCTTGACTCCTTCCAATTCAGCCTAAAAACATGGATTTTTAAGCAGTTTTTTGGCCTTGAGTAGGCTGAAATAGGCACATATGAGGTTAACACTTTGGCACTTTAGTTGTGATTTGAAAGCAGCTAGTTTTAACTACAGATGGTCTGTGTTTTAAACTGTGTTTTTATTTTATTTTAGGTGTTAATAGTAGTTTTTTTATAACTTTTATATGGTATTGTTTTCATACTCATGTACCGCTTGTGCCGTGCGACGGGAAAAAAAATCTTTCATCAACCCTTTCCACAATTTAAGAAACAAAATAGCTAATAGTATTTCTGAAAGCTGCAAAAGAAATGTATACTTTGAAATAAATATGTTTATAAAAGATAGGGCTTACTTATAATGACTTTAAAGACGATTATTTTTATTTCACATTTTTGTATCCTGTCTTTCTCACCCCCGAGGGGGGACTCAGGGCGGCTTACAGCAAGCAACCATTTGATGCCATAAACAATTTTATAAATAACAATTACAGTTGAAACAGTTAATTAAAACATTCATTATTAAGACATTCATTTAAAATCACGTAAATTCAAAATCATAGTCAAGATCAAATCATTGTCAGTCACATAGATTCGGACTAATCTTGAACTTTATCACACAATAGATTTGTTGCACCATTCCTTGTTTTATCTTTCCTGTTCACATAGCATCAGGGTCCTCCCTTTATGGCATTGCATTTCCACTGCATTACTCAAGATAGCTTCAAAACAAAATATCAGTAAATGATGAAATAAATGTGTCCCCCCCCCCTCCCAAAATGACAGAAGATATTGCAAAATAATATTAGAGAACCTGGAAAAGATCAACAGCTAAAGAAAAGGAAAGGGGACTCACATAGCAGTAAGACAGTTGATGTGATCTGTATTTCAGTCTAAATTTTCAAGAAGCTATCTTATGGACTGTACTTATTTTTGGGGAGAAAATTCAGGACCATGGATAGGTGCTTTAAAATTCAAACTGAAATCCAGAGTGGATTCACTGCCCTCTTCTCACCATGGAAGCCACCAGCATCCACTGTAAACCTCCTTTGACAAGAATAAACCAGGGACAGCATATAATGTCCTGCCATATATTTTTGTCATTCCAAACTTTACTGATAACAAAAGTTATAAAATAAGAGTGCAAACATATAGATGCTTACTCAAAAACAAGTCTAACAGAGTTCAGTAAGACGTGCTCCCCAGGAAGATAGATGTCTTTTGGTTATCTGTTTATGAGAGTAAGATTTAAGTTTACCCGCTTTTCCACAATTCATGTTCATGATTCCTAATCTCAGTGAACTGAGTAAAACGTACTTCTGAGTAAATATATAATTCCAAAAGAAATTTACAGACAAAATATATTGTGTCACAGGATTTTATGAGATGTAGTTTGTTTTATGAGTTGGTACATTCATACTTTCATACAAAGTGAAAGTGAGATCCAAATGCTATACAAAGTATGCCACATAAATATATGAAACTGAGAGCATTATAACCATATATCATTTACATTATATTTATACATTACATTTCTTTGTCTACCTTCCCCCCTTTCTTAAAATTTTGATAGAATCATAGAAAAACTGATTTTAAAAAGACAAAAATTATTTTGGGGTTGAAAAATCAGATTAATTTCAAATTTAATTTGTTGGACAGATAGTTTTGATAAGTTGGAGGCTTGCCAGACTCTCCCCTCCCTATTTACATCAACACTTGACTTGTTCATGGTGGGTTGGGACGAAGGGATCCTACTGATAAGACCTGGATAAAGGGAAGCTACAGGGTAGAAGACATGCAGCATGATATGACAATGCCTGATTGTTCTTTAATCAATTAAGTCTAACAGTTATTGGATGATGCCCCCAAAGGGTGACACAACACTGCAAAACCAAACAAGCAAATCATAGAATCATAGTTTTGGAAGAGACCTCATGGGCCATCCTGTCCAACCTCCTGCCAAGAAGCAGGAAAATAGCATTCAAAGCACCTCTGTCACTGCTTGGAGTTCCCCCATTTTGGGGGCACAACTGGAGTCCCAGTTCTTTGGTTTTTTTCCTTACCTCATCTGAATTTTTCAGAATAAAACTTTCTTTCTGAGAGCAAGAAACACCTGGTTATTTTGCTGGCCGTGTCTCTAAAGCTGCACATTTTTAAGAGATTGGGGTGACAACACAAACCTGCAAGGAAATGTAGAAGACATCTCTTCTTCCCAGGGAGTTGTTCACGAAAGAGAAAAAGAATAAATATGTGGAAGCTTTATGCTGGTCTGAAAGTATGCAATTATATTTAATAAAATATTCCACCTACTTGTAGTTGCTGCCAAGTAGGTGGAAGCAAGAGAGTAGGAGCCAAAAAGATGTTTCATCATTGTCAAGTTACACAAGTACTTCTTTGTCCTTTAACAACTCAAGGTTGCCCACCTTAATATTGTCCTGTGGGTTTTGCCAGATTCTCCTGGTTTGAAGCTGGCTTAAGTACTCAGCCTTCCACCTCTTCCAGAAGTGGTTGGCTAAGGTCTGCACCTGTTTTTCACAGGGCACGGTGAATTCCGTCCAGAACTGGATGCATAATGTCTTTCCATCATGTCAATGGTTGTAAGTTTTCAGGGTCACTGGTAAGGGGAACCAGTGGCCGGTTGTTGATAATTGCGGTAACTTCCGCCATAAATGTCACCAAAACATCATGAGTCAAATACTTATGGTTCAGAAGCATGGTGTAATGATTCTTACCTCATAGGCCAAAAGAGAAGCCTGGAATGCCAGTAGGCCGGACTCCATTTTGGGAGTGTCAGCAAAGGAAGCAGACATCTTGGGAGTGTAAGAGGAGAAGAGGGGAGGAGCCGAAGCTCTCTTTTGATTGGTTAGGACAGATGGGAGGAGTTTAGCCCTGAGAGGGAAAAGTGTGAGCTTCAGAGAAAGAAAGGAGATTGATTTTTGGGTTTGAAAGAGGAGACTGGTTTTGGGAACTGAGGGGAGGAGAGGTAGATTTTTGAGCTTAGATTTATCTGTCAGAGGGCATTTGTGACAGGCGATTCTGCATTATTGGCCAGGAGGGTCAAGGTAGACGCTTGGGTGCTTGTGTGGGTTTTTACACAAGTGGGTTTGCTCTCTGGGTTAGGGTAGATTAGCTTATAGAGGACTCTGTTTAGAGTGTGGCTAATTGCTCTGTAGACAACCTGGTTTAGGTTGGTCTGGGGAACTCACTGCTACTGTGTTAGAGTGAGGAGTTTTACTCATATCTAAGCCAAGTAACCTGTTTGAAGTAACCATTAAGATTATTGTACCTCAGTAACCAATTAAGCTTGTGTGCCTCATTGAAGAAGATAGTTGTTTGTTCTTATCAATAAACATTTTATCTAGTTCAACTTTTAAAGAAGCCTCAGTAGTGATTCATTCCTATAGGAATAATTCTAACTATTTTAACATCTTTACATCACAGTCATCTCAGGGAGCCTAAGGGAAAGCTGGTGGGCAGGAAGGAGTTTACCTCAGGGAAATCATCTTTAATATTCCCAAGTATTTTGGGTGGTGGCAGCGATTCTACCAAAGTACATACACATTACCTCATGTACATATAAATGCTCCATGCCAGAATCTTATTCCATCATATTGGTGTGTATCTGAGGGATTAGCAATTAAGATCCTTTAAAGTGGCACCAAGATATAATAAGATTCTTTAAACATGGCATTAAGGATCTTGCGACTAATGCCAATCATTCTTTCCCAAACTCCACCCATGTGGGAAGCATGGGGAACATTGAATGTCCAAAGAATTTGCTCACAGTTAGTGAAGTCCTGAACCTTGGTGTCTCTCTCAAACTTAGCCACACAGCTAAGTTCTTTGGTTGCACCTATGAAATTGGTGCCACAGTCTGACCGGAGGGATTTTATTGGCCCTCGGAGGGCTATGAATCTTTTCAATGCATTTAAAAATGATGAAGTGTCCATACCCTCTATAACTTCTATATGGACAGCTCGTATTGACAAACAAGTAAACAAAACTGCCCATCTTTTATTATTTACAACACCACCCCTGGTTTTCCTGGTAACAATTTCCCAGGGGCCAAACACATCGATTCCCACGTGGGAAAAGGGTGGGTCTGTCAGAGTCCTATCTTGAGGTAGATCTGCCATTATCTGGCTTTGGCAGCTACGTCTAAGGCGCCTGCATTTGACACATTTGAAAAATACACTGTTGACCAACCTTTTGGCATTAATTACCCACAGACCTTCATTTCTAAGGGCTGCCTCGGTTAGAGTTCTACCCTGATGGTGGATTTTCTCGTGGTAAAGACGAACGAGCAACAGTGCAATGTGGCTATTAAGGGGTATGATGATAAACACCTTGAGTTTAGCCTTAGCTAACCTTCCTCCAACTCTCAAAATACCCTCCTTGTCCAAAAAGGGGTTTAACTCATGAAGAGAACTCTGGTTAGGGGTGTTGAGCCCTTGTTCTAGCCTGGCTATTTCCTGCTGGAAATCATGCCTCTGTACTGACTTGAGTATGGCTCTCTTAGCCTTTATCATGTCCTGGACCTGTAAAGGCTCACTGCCTTTGCAAGCTAATCGATGTATGAGTCTAGCAACTGCTCTAAGAAGACTATGCAACTCTGAAAAATGCTCAAAATGGTGTGGTTCCAGGCAAGATCTTTGGCCCAACTGGATTTCTGTGGTCGTCTTACAGGCTTTTACCTCTGGAATGACTTCGGGCAATTCTGTATTCTCTGTGGGAGAAAAGACTGATGGAAAGTTGACATCAGTCAAACATCTGGGACCTGTCAACCAACTGGAACTTAAAACTCGTTGGGCTGAGGCTCCTCTGGAAGCGATGTCTGCTGGGTGGCGACATGATGCCATTGGCTAGGCGTAGAACTAGGTAGAATGTTGTTGATTCTATTAGCCACATATACTTTAAATCTTTTGGTTGTGTTGTTGATGTAACCAAGCACAACTGTACTGTCTGTATGGAAATGAACATCTTGAAACAAGTCTCCTATCTCTTGCTGTATGATGCGCCAGAGCTGGACTGCAAGAACTGTGGCACACAATTCCAACCGGGGTATAAAGGTCCCCATAGGAGCTATTCTGGCTTTAGCCATGATGAAACCAACGTGGCAGACATCTTTGTCCTTTTGCCGCATGTATCCTACAGCTGCTATGGCTCGCTCAGATGCATCACATAAGATGTGAAGTTCTGCGGTGGGTTCTATCATCGCCTTGCAGGAAACAAATTGCCTGGGAACTGTGATGGTTTCCAGTCCTACAGCTTGGGAAGTCCAGTTTGTCCAAGCCGTTTTCACTGATGGGGTCAGCTCTTGGTCCCATCCTATCTTTTCTTGAATCACCTGCCTGAACAGAAGCTTAGCAGTGATCAGGACAGAGGCAGCTATGCCTAAGGGATCAAATATCCCGTTGATGGCGGAAAGCATTTGTCTCTTAGTGCTCACAAACTGAAATTTGGATGCTCTCAAAGAAAGATGGTCTGTTTTCACATCCCAGAGAAGTCCTAAACTAGACTGGGAGCTTAACTCTTTAAATAACTCATAAACATTACTTTCCGCTAGGTCTTCTGAGGGAAAGGCTTGTAAAATTTGTCTGTTGTTAGACAGTAGTTTATGCAGGCGAATGTAGGGAGTTGCCAGGCCTGTCCGGGTTCTGGCCTGGTTCTGCTGGGCTCCACACCTCCGTGCGAGCCAAAGGTCTGCTGCTGGAGCTCCGCGGCCGAGACCTACCGCCGGAGGAGCTCGGGGGGGGGGGGGGGGGGGGGGGGGGGGGGTTGCTGGGTTCTGCACAGCCGTGCAAACCCAGAAGCAGCCGCTGGGCCATGTGCGCACACACGTGAGCCGAAGAGCAGGGGACTGCAAAAGCTGAGGGAATGGAGCCCCACTCCCTCACTTGACTTTCAGTCCAGAAGCAGTCTTCACTGCAACAGACCAACGAAACTAAAATCTTTATGGCCGTGCAGGCTTGGCTCAGGCGGAGATAATCACAACCTATGCAAAAACTGTGCCGTCCGCCCAGACGATATAAAAAATAAAACTGCAACGTGCTTCTCTCTATGCCAGAGCAAATTACAAGTGTCTATCTTGAGAAGCTTGAGATACTCAGCAACTGAGACTATTACTGGTTTTAAACATCAAAAAAGGATATTTATTTATACAAAGTCCTTGAAGACTTGGCACAGTTCATCAAAGTTGCAAACAAACAGTCAATAGATGAAGCTACAAAAATATCCTTTCTTTTCTTTAGTTACAGAGCTAACCTTTTCTCCAGGTGGCAGATAAAATCCTGGAATCTTTACACCCTAACCTTAAGCTGTTGTGGTTTAGAAAAAAGCAGGTTTATTCCCTACCTATAACTTAAGGTTAGTTCTGGAGACAAAGAAGGGAAGACTCTCTTTCTATAACTATATAACTCAATCTTCTCAATTAAGCTTATCCATTTATAATATCTCAATACAGCTCAATACACAATATACTATCTATATTAACTCAATATAGCTTAATACTTATCTATAATGTAGTTTTTGCAATGATTTTCCCAGAGCTAACTGCCTGACCATCAGCACGTCTGAAGTCTTTCCTCTAAACTGAAAAGGGAGGGGAGATTCCAAAATGGAGATCTCTTCCCTGGGAGAAAAGGCGGTCCCTGGACCCAAAAAAATACCTTTCTGAACCAATAGCTGCAAAGTAGGCCTGCAGACTCTGATACTATTAACTTTTAGGGCTCTTGCAAAGCTTCAGCAGCCCTGGGAGAAAATGCAAGAGGAAGCAACCTCAAGCAACTTTAAAGTAAGGCAAATCAGGCTCCTGGGAGATGGAACACCGCTTATGTTATATACTACACTTGTAGTGCCTTGTAAGCTGCCCTGAATCTGTTATGGGAGATGGTGGCGGGATATCAAGATGATGATGATGATGATGATGATGGTTGATATTTCACAGGTCACATCAAAATCCATAAGTCTAACCCCAGAAAATTGCCTTTGACTTAAACATGAGGTCAACTTGCTCATGAGCATATACAGTAATCCTGGCACTCCGTCACAATGCAACTTTTATTCCCGCCTCTCCCCTGCCCCCATTCTTTCCGCTGCCGAAATCTGGGAAATCTTGCTCAACTACTTATAGAGCAGGTTTTCCATATGCAGCAGGGAGGGGAAATCAATTCCAGTGAAATAAGCTGTTCAATCAGTAGGTGAATCACAATGGATTTAGCCAACAATTTCTTTGACTTATTCATAACTTAGGAATGCAAA